TCCGACAAATTAGAGCAGTAGTAAATTTGCGTGTGAGTGAGTGTATGACGAGTGTGTCTCTAGGCAGCTTCGCTCAACGATGCCGGTCAATGCGCACTGTCGGACATTGCCTGCAACATAGCGATACCAAGTCCGTGAGAAAGAGACAAAGAGAGAGCCGCCATCAGATGAAAATTTGTTCGAAATCGAGATATGTTTATCGCGTGCGATAGATATATACAGCATACACAATCCTGTGAGCCTTTTATCCCGTGCGAATCCCTCATTGAATCGCACCCATTTTCAGCGGTGGCTACTATGCCACCTTGTAGTTCCAGTCCGTGATAAAGACCCTTGTATTGTAGATATACAGTGCGTGCCAAAAGTGCCAAAACGGCCAATTATTTCAGAAAAATGTTTCAAACAAAAATGATAAGGTAGGTTTAAAAAAATTGTAGAGATAGCGTGATCGGATTTACACCGTTTTTGTGTCCGTGTTTTGTGGGTGCGCGCGCGCCTGTGTCTGTAGATGATTGTGAGTGTACTCTTTATTTTATTAAATGTTCAATTTGATGTCCTTTTGCTACTTGGTAGTGGCCAAAACGGTTTTTTCGTATTTAATTTATTATAGTGAACAGTTCTTACGCTTCAACCGTGCTTCTAGTTTTTAATGCCTTCTCCATTATCTGTATATTTCATCTTTGAAAAGCCACATTTTGCAGTACAAATTGTATTATAATTACTTGTTTCATATCCCCCATCATTTTTCAAAATTTATCAATATATTTTTAAATTACTTTTTGTGTATATGTGTACGCGTGTATGTGTGTGAAAAGAGAGATTATATGTACATATACATACATTTATTGCTTTTATGTGATTTGTGAATATAATAGCTGGACTAGAGTCTGAGTTGCATATTTTATTTCAAGTTACATTTGCATTTTCATCGATGAGAGGAGATAACACATGTGCATTGTGATCGTCATCAGCATCGTCATTTTAAATAATCGGTTATTTTAATAATAACAATCTAATGATTATTCACGACCGAAAAGAGTGGACGTTGCCAAGAGGAAAAGCATCCAAGGTGGCTGGAATAAAAAAACTTTAATGTATGTGTTACAGTTTTATACTGAAATTTAATAATGTCTTGAAAGAGCACTCGCGTAGTTTTTACGATTAGATTCCGCGCGCAATTTGTAAACTGGCAAATGATATATATACAAATTTACTCCTTAAATTTGTCATATCGTATAAAATAGTGCCAATTTAAAAACAGAGTTTTCTTCGTTAATTTCAGACTTAAATGAATAGACATACAATAAAGTTTCGTCATTCCAGCATCTGTGGAGATTTTTGTAGTATTGTTCTTTCGGGCTCCGCGCGTATCGTCGTTTCACTCACGTCTCTGAAAAGACATTGGGCGAAGATTTTCCGACTACGAGAAGGATTATACAGAAAGCGAAATAAATGGTAAAGTATTCGTAGGAAATGTATACGCTGAACTTGAAAACGAACCATTGTGAAAATTTTATTTTTATGTATCTGTGCCCGACTACGGCTGAATCATTGCAAATTTATATAATTTACGAGAGTTTCATCTCGTAATTCTCTAGTAAGTTCTCTAATATAGTATACATATGTATAGAGACGTATAGATGTATATAGATATGTATATAGACGTATCATTACTCACAATCAGAAATGTATACTGCATGTACATGTGGGCACTCTTAATGAGAGTGATATAATAATTAAAACAGAAATGTAATACAGAATGAGGCTGGACTCGATTAAATGATGCAATGTGTGTCTAATTAAAATGTTAGTAATAAAAAGAATCGAGTTAATTATTCACGTACCGTAATAGTTAAAAATACAAATTCTTGAATCAATAAAATCAAACGTTAATATTACTCAACATTATTCTTCATTATATTTATTTAAAATGTCAATCAGATTGTTAATTTTTCATTTCTAAGCTGGTTTTAAATTGTATCGAACAAGTAGTTTTTGTCTATTTCATATTTTTAATCTCATTTTTTCTAATGCGATATCGTTTTTCGAGTGACAGAACATATTTTTGCATAATACAAACTTTTGAGTAATATTTAAATTTTATTCTTGTTCATTTTAAACAGAAGCATTATCTAAATTAAAAAAAAATTAAATGGAAATATTGCGAAATACTTAAACAATAAACAAAATATTATAAAAATAATTTATGAGTATGCTTCTCTCAATGATTGAAAATGAACAATTGAATATCCCCTGTTTGAATAAATATTAGACTAATAATTGATATAATTTTTCCGTCGGAGACAGATACATATTTCTACGTTGCAATTCTATCTCTTGTATAATAAATACTCTCATGATAGTTACTTTTTTAATCAAGCGATATGCATCGCATAGAG